GCAATTTCTCGATCTATGAAAACAGGCATGCATTGTCCATTTCTTACTTCACATCCCCACTCTCCAGGTGTCATTCTGTTGCCCAGGCACTCTTGCACTTGGCAAAATGTCCTCAGACTATGAAACTGGGCAGCTGCCGATGTAGGTGGAAGCACCTGGGGTCTACAAATGCTTCGCTAACAACAACTTTTCTGTGAAAGTTCTTGAATCGAAGTTTGTCCAGAGACTCTCAGGTAGCACCCTTGTACAGAAAGACTAGTGCAATCTCTCCAGCCACAAACAGTACCCTGGATTTCACCTTCAGACCCCACTCATCTTCTCTCTCAGACCCCAGGATTGAGTTTTGAACACTGTATTCCCTGACAGTTGTCAGCACTAAGTCTTTCTTCTTACCACCATATCTGTCCCCTGTCCCGCAATAGATACAGTTACTTTTGTAATCAAAGCCGGTTCCAGTAGATCTCAGTTGGCGTGCTCCGTCTTCAGAAGACTCATTTGCTCTTTTTCTGTTCTGAGCTTCAATACTGAATGGCCTACAATGGTCCTTGCATCATTGTGTACTTTTTGTCCAGGCACTACTGTTGTTACAACTTTTCTTCTTTCACTGGCTTTCTGGATACCTTCCCAACCCTTGGGTGTTAGTGTTGCACATTCTTCACCTTCTATGACAGGCCTGCTGCAAAGGGCACATTGGGCAACATCCATCTTGGTGCTACCTGTAAGGCATGATGTGATCACCCTCTACCAAGCTTATGCACAAGCTAGACATTCTGTAACAGTGATTATAAGCATGTAATAATCACAAAATACCTCTATATGGTGTGTCCTGTCTTGAAGTCTGATCAGAGGGCTGCTCTCTTAATAATAATAGCGGTTTCAGCGTTTATTAGGCCGTAGGCCTGTCGTCGATTCCTAACATCGCAGAACATTCACAGCATTTTGCGGACTCGAACTCGCAACTCACTGCTACAATTCTACTGTGCTTTACCGCCCGGCCTCCTCGCCGATTCTGACCAGAAACTGGCGCACAGAGCTTGGATCGAACCCGCGCCTCTCTGCTCCAATCCTGGAACTCTGAACTTTAACCACTGGGCTCTTGCTGGTCATGTTCTAAAAACTTACACCAGAGGGTCTAGACAATGCTGCCCTCTTACTACAATTAACACACCATTTATGATATAGACACACACACTCACCATGCATCACACACACACACTCCAGGTGCATGCCTGTATATATCATATAGGCATTATTCCACATGCTTATATAATCACAATTGTTCACTTTATGGGTGGCTGTTTTTGCAAATACTAGATTGACCACCTTGGATGAATTTTAGTTATTATTAATGAATACCCCCTACATGAAAACATGCATAGTCACAAAAATAACTCTCGGTCATACTTTTAAAATGTCTTATTGGGCTTATATTGCCATTCGGCGGCCATTTTTTGAAATCTTAAATTTGACACCCTTCCACTACTTGCATTTCAGAGGATTTTTAGTATGTTGTTTCTAATGCCCTTCTGGAGCATTGGTGAAAAAATCATTTCTTTTGCAATTTGTTCCGGGTCAAACCTTATTTTTCCTGGACTATTCGTACGCTCGCGACGCGGCAGCTTAAATCTTTCGGCCGCGGTCGATTCTATCGTCGTCTGGGGGCGCATGGGTAATTCGGGCCGAAATTTGCAGTGACCAAGAAATTTCATCTAAACTACTGTACAGATTTGAACGAAACTTTGAATATACAAACCCAACCTCCCTGCGGTGACGTTTAGCTCGTGACAAATTTTTGGATTTTACTTTCGTTTACGATTTTTTTTCATTTCACCTTCATTCGTGAAATAAAATTCGGGCCGTAATTCGCAGTGACCGAAAAATTTCTTTTAAACGACTGAACAGATTTGAACAAAACTTTGAATATACAAATCTAACCTCCCAACGGTCATGTTTAGCTCGGTCGATTTTTTTAGAATTTTTCTTCGTTCGCGAGTTATACAGCTATACGTTTACAGCTCTTTGTCAAAGCAAATTTAAAATCAGCATCATACATGCCTGTCGTTTCTACGTATGTCCGTATAACTCGCGAACGAAGGCAAAATGGAAAAAATAATCACGAGCTAAACATCCCCGCTGGTAGGTTAGGTTTGTATATGCGAAGTTTTGTTCAAATCTTTTGAGTAGTTTAGGAGAAATTTCATGGTCACTGTAAATTTCAGCCCGAATTTCTCTATAACTCACGAATGAAGGTGAAATGGAAAAAAACTCGCTAACGAAGGTAAAACTGAAAAAAATGTCACGGGCTAAACATCACCGTTGGAAGGTTAGGAATATGTACTGAAAGTTTCGTTCAAATCTGTGCAGTAATATGAAAAAAATTTCTTGGTCACTGCAAATTTCGGCTCGATTTGCCGTATAATTCACGAATGAAGGTGAAATGTCAAAAAATTTCACGAGCTAAACATCACCGTTAGATCATGCTGAATACGTGTACCAAGTTTCATCGAGCTGCGTTCATTAGTTTTGGAAATATTCCTTGGTCGTTGAATTTGGAGATTGGCCGTGAGACCGGCCGCAAGACCGGCCGCGTGTCCGGCCGTAAATTTGTCCGAGACGTCCATCTCTGAAGGCCCCAACCCATTTCTGCACCATTCCATCACTAATAACGTTTTCATCTGACCTCGAAAACGCACACAAAAGATGGACATTTTTCTACGCACTTTCAGCATCACATAAAGAAGACATATGTTGTGTGCGAAGGCGCTGGTCGCCGACGAATATTCTGAAGCCCTTCAACAAACTTTCAGAATTTCATTATTTCTATGCAGGTTCTTTTTGTGATATTATGAATACATCAACTGGGCTTCTATAAATTCATCAATTATGTATTCCGTGACCACTAGAAACGTGTGCGTTGTCGCCCATCCACAGACAAGTCGGCTATTTTTTAGAGAAAAGTGCATTTAGAAATTTCTAACACATCATTAAACGTATTCAGATCTTATAATTATTTTTTTTGTCAGTCCCGCTGAAAAGCTTGGACCCATGCCGATGTCATTCGCCAAGCTCACGTCTTTTGTACATCGCTTTCTTATCGTCCATCAGTGGCGCTATAGTGGCAGGGTTAGTGTCCAGCAGCAACTATAGTGCCATAAGTCAAGCAGCGAAAATCATTATCATAAAATCTGAATTCTCGCAAAACTCGATTATAGGTAAGACAATTTTTATGTATAGAAGACCGATGATGTTTATGATATTTGAAAATTTTGCCGTCTCAAAATCATGGACTTATGTATAGAAATTTGCTTCTCTGAAAGTAGAATGTCGAAAATTCTTTTAAAAAGCTTTATGTTAACTGTAAATTAGTAAAATTATTTACTAGGCCTTGATGAAGTTTAGTGAAAAAATAATTAGATAAATCAATTTTATGGAAACTGAACACTCAAATTCATTTCTCGCCTAAGACAGATATTTTTCTCTCAAACATAATTAATGGCATCTCAGGTATAAATATATACATTTTTTCTGCTTCCATATCACAATTTTTATCTTAAACAAATTAAACAAGCGTTTCATGCTTTTATTTCTGATTTCAATTTATATCTGAATTATTTTTAACTTCAAGTCCCTTCCTCCTTTTGAAACTTACCGCCAATGAAATTTCGAATTAAAGAATAAATCATGACGCTCGCTTACTTTTTAATGGCGCCTTGATTATCACAGTGGTTATTTTATATAAAAAGTGTTAATTATAACTAATGCAGCATTACTTCCTCTCATGAAATTTTTTCACAACTCGAACGTTGAAACTGCAAGTTACGATGGATACATTTGTCATTTAAGGTCATTTCGATCATAACATTTCATTCTATGTGTAGTCAATAGATCGATGAAGATCATAATGATAGCAATGGTAATCAGCAGTGATCAGAATGATAGCAACTTAGAATAAATTTGGCAGGTTGTCGCCCGGCGAACAGACTTCATTCGACTTGATTTACAAACAATAAAAAATTGCTGATTTTTACCATGCCAATAATGGAAAATGCTCAATTATAAGTCCACTCATTGTATGAACGATGGAAAATTGCATATTATTTTTTGTACATTTTATGTCCAATTCTCTCAAACTTAGATCAAATTGTAATTTTAGTGATTAAGGAAGCCTAGCGAGATCGCCTGCGTAACATACGCTTCCGAACTTTTCACGCGAGATCGGTTTCAGCGCGAGGCGAAGAGTGAGATGACGTGTGTTCGAAGCTGTTCGGAAGACTGTTGTGTCCTGAAAGCTGATCAGTAAAGTAATCGCTGTTGCCTTTATATTGGAAGCTAGTAAGTAATGACTGCTGATTTTGTGTCGCTTATTGTCGCGTAATATGACTTCTCCCTGACTGCATCTGCGTGTGCCATTGAAGCTTTCTACAGTGCCCTCCTTGTGAATCCGAGATTACGTCAAACGGTTAACGTTCTAAATCATGTATTGGCAGACAACAGTGACCGTGCTAACAGTGTGATCACAACTTTTGATAAAAAATGCACCGTCAAAATAATCTCCAAGTCAAATGTGGGCTTTAACCACTAGGCAGGGTGGCCTAGTGGCTGAAGTTCAGAGTACCAAGATTGGCGCAGAGAGGCGCGGGTTCGATCCCAGCTCTTCGGCAGGCGACCCGACTTTCCACAGTACAAACTTTGAACTCTAGTTCCTCAAGTCACAGCGAAAAGAAATGCTCATCGTTTGATATTTGATGATAGATCTGTTTATAGGCTCCAAGGGAATGAAGCAGGAATGCTACTGTGAAAAATGCAAAACGATAAGGTCTCAACCCATGCTTTATAGGAGCATCGTATTATAGAGCTTTCAAATTTAAAATAAATGCGGATTTGGGCGTAATGCAACGTAGAAAGGCAACTAAATTTAAAGCAATTTTTTTATCTGTAAAGAAATTCGAACAACTTATTAAAAAAATAATAAGGTATAACAAGGAAAATAAAAGGGATAATTAGCCAAGCGTTTATATTCTGATGCAAGAACACATATAGAGATTTCAGAGCTTCATCAATCAGTCAATATTTGGGCAAATAAATATCATCAAATAGTTATAGTGTTAAAATGTGATGCCTGCGCAAAGAGCAGGTGCTGTAGAGGCTGAATGCCCAAAATTATAAATGGAATAAATGCGTTAATTAAATTGAACTAAATGCCGATAATCGCGCAGGAAGATCCATCAGCTCACGAGGCAGCGGCTCTCAGCAGCTGAGGTTGCAGCCACTGGTGTAGGAGGATAAGTTCTTGCCTTTACAGTTGTTCTTCCAGCCGTACCAGGCGTTGAAGCCGTGGCGCCCGAAAATCTTCTTGGCGCATTTGACGTCGTCCGCAATATCGTTGTCCTTCAGTTCTGAATTTCGAAAATCATATTCTAAGCTAACGCAAACGAATTAGAAATCAGTTAGAGACACGTTGAATGTAGAAACCAATTCAATAAATAGGAGCTTCCATGAGAAGAATTTGCACGAGAAAAACTGGTAGTTTATTCACTATTGTGTTTTGGAAAACTTAGCTAAAGCTGCGATTCTCTTGTTGAGCTCATTTGTAATTCTTAGTTCACTACCAGTTAACTAATGTCTATAATTAAGTATAACATTTTCTCACTATCACAATTGATGTTGCAGTCGTTGGTGCCTGTGCCCGAATTACACCAATAATAGTCGTTGATCTGCGCAGAGAAGGAAATTATGCTCCCAGACGAACATACAAGTTTCAGAATAAAAACTGTTTTCATCTGAACCGAACAAGTAAAACTCGGATTCATCACTGACGTTAATTAAATCGCATTGTACGACACTCCGCTAATCATTTCCTCCCGATTTTTTTTTAGTTCGGCATGGACACTTTATGATATTTGTGCAATAATGCAGTTTGGATCATGCGATGAACCGTTTTCTTCGAGACGTCAATCTCTGCCTCTTCACAAATTCTAGGCACACGAATTGCTACTAATGCGATCCTCTTTTAAAATTCTGACAATTGTTCTAATTTTTCTTCCAGTTGGGTTCGAAAGTTTATCCAGTTTGCTTGTAATGTTAGATCTGCATTATGCTTCCGACTACTCGACGAACGACCCTTCAAGATCTTCGTACATCATCAGTAAATTTCAGAAATTTATTTGTTGTCAATGATGACGATTTATCTGAATAATGATTATATTCTTGTGTTTTTAAGCTTTTTGGTTTTGTATTTGCTACTTGCTTTGAGATGTCAACGATTTACGGATACACCGTTTCAACTCATTTTTAGATCAACTTACTGTAATATAATTAATTTTCACATTCATGGTATGGCTCCCAACTATCAGATCACGGATAAATTCCCTTTCTTGTTTACTCAAATTTTCAGTGAAACCAACAGAAATCAAGTAACATAATGCATAATTTACGTTCTAAAACCCAATTTTCAGTTTTATTTAGTCAGCTATTAAAAAAAGTGCACAAAGCCTCCGTTTTCAGAGTCCCCAATGTGATGACCGCAACTGCAGATGAACTAGAAAAGATTTCGTTGACTTGTGACTATGATGCAGTCTGCTATTTAAAATTTGACCACGTTTGATGCTTCAAAATAAAGGCAAATCAGGTGCTATGATGAAACGATAGTATGATTTACCTGGAACAAGCCATAGTCCTTACTGCCCTTGTTTTGTCCAACAGCCGCGGTATTGAAGGAGCTCTCGTGCTGTACCAAACACACCCCTGTTCAGAGAGGATAGGTAGGGAATTAGTTTTATAATTGGGGTATTTCTAATCGCAAGATAATGCTACTGCCATACTGAGAATTTTGTGAAATTATCCTCAGTTTTATCATGGAAAGAAAATACGTAGAGATTTACTCACAGTCGCCGAGGCTGCTTTGCGCAAAGCCGTAGATACATTTCAGCTCCTTGGCAAGTTCGCACTTCGTGTAAATTTTGCCGTAGCATGAAGCGCTCAGGCTGATCACAGCCAAGAGAACGGCGGCGAGGAAATGCATCTGCAAAATTATATAGAATAAAATAGAAGTATCAGCACTGAAGAAATAGGCCCATGGCCTGTTGCCGATTCCTGTACTTTTCGTGACTTAATTCCGCTAGGGATCCGACTTTTTGAACCCAATATTTCCATAACTGACGATTGATTGAGATAGTTGCTGGACTTAGTACAAGGCCTGTTAGGTGCTAAGCATTTCAAGACAGAACATATGTTCCTGCATAGCTTCGTCTAGTCTGTTCTTGAAGGCGTTCATACTCGGAGCGTCAACGATGCTATCAGGGAGGCGATGCATCGCAATTATTTAGTTTATTGTCTATAGCCGTGGCCCCTGGTGTTGGTTCTTATTTCAAATTCTGGTAATCCTTCTGAGACCTTGTATAAGCCGTAGGTATATTTGTATACTTCAATGAGGTCACCACGCAGACGTCGATAACAGAGGCTTGGAAGCTTCATAATCTTTAATTTTTCTTCGTAATTCTTGCCTTTTGATCCCAAAATTATCTTTGTTGCACGTCTTCGAACACTCTCGACTAAATTTTGTCCTTTTCTAGTTTTGGAGTATCGGAGACCACAAGGCGTTTCCAAACTCTATAGGTTCGGACGCACGACTGCGACAAACAACTGCTTCATCGCTTCTGCATCTATATGTACTCGTAGGAGCGTCTGATCAGTCCAAGTCGTTTATTGGCTTTATTAACTTGACCTTCAATATGCTTAGAAAATTTCAACTCATTGTCGACATTAACTCCTAAATCTTTTTCCATTGTCGACTTCGACATCATCACTCTGTCGTTGCCACCATGTCTTCTCATACTGCAATCTTGCTGTTCATTATTCTTGCCAAGGTGGAATACTTTACATTTGTCAGCATTAACACGCAGCTGCCACTTATCAGCCCAGTCAACCAACCTGTCAAGATCACCTTGCAACTGTACTTTTGCGACGTATTCCTCACTGTATTATAAACTATGTGTCGTCAGCATACATCGAGCACACGCTAGACATAGCGTCTGGCAGATCGTTCATAAAGGCAACGAATAAATTACCAGATGGCGTTGCAAATTTATTCGTTGCAATTTCAGAATAATCAATTGACCAGATTTGACTTGCTATTACACACAGGATAGGACTCGCTGTGTTGAAACTTTCCGTTTACATCCACAAATTACTCGCATGAGTAAAGCCAAGTCACTCACCTGAACAAGAAGCTGCTGGAGTGCGTGTGTCTGGACGCTGCGGTGGCCGCTGCTTTTATGCCCGCCACTCGCGCCACAAATTCAATGAAGGCCTATGACTTCATTAACATTGTAATGCCCTTCAAATTATATTTCATTGTCTTCAATAACTTTTTCAGATATAAGGGCACTATAGATATAGATTAAATATTTCACATATTCCTCCATATTTTTCGTAGAGCTTGCGCTCCATGGCGCATTTGACGTAATTTGCTTTTGGCGTTGAGGTCGCGTCACGGCCATCACCCTGATCCATTCAGGGAGATATTGGGCCATTGACGTGGGTCATTATAACACATTCATGGGGACACTTGGCCATTGTCGTGGATCACTCTGACCCATTCATGGGGACACAATTGGGGCTGTGCGGCACCTGAAGAGTTGCTGTTGTTGTGGTTCCCCGGTCTCACTTTTGCCTTTACTGACCTTAGAAAGTTAATTGATAGAAATTTTCGTGAAGTGATCATTTTGGGCACCTTGATACCTTGATAATGATTTAGCTAAAATTAAACTATGATTTGCTAGAGGAAAAGTATTAACAATAATTAGCTATATGAAAAATAATGCAGGTAGCAAAACCACCTACAAGTTATGTTAAAATTTGCGTGCATAATAAATGAACGACTATAGCGGGCATTTTTAATTAAGAACGCACACTATGACGGATTTCCAATACACGTTCAGAAATGGGAAAGTTCATCAAGTTCATGTATTGAGAAAGATGCAAGTCATCCTAAGTAAAAGTTCTTTGTTCTTTATTCGATGTTAAGCTCCTAATTGGCCGTGAGATTGTCTCCAAGAAGCTGCGAGTTTGCGTCTTCAGTTTTGCAACGAAATGTTATAGCTTCAATAAATTTTTATCCAGAAATAAATAATTTTTAATATCTTGTAGGATTCTATGCATTAATTAACTTCATTTTCAAGTTGTTTCGTGGATATTCTATTGGATAGTAACCTTTCACCCGACTAGCACAATCCATAACCAAATTATTGTCAACTATCATAAAAACTTTTTTAGCGCATTTTCTCATTTATGGAAAAATGCACTATTGTGCTCGCCATGTCCGCCTGTCCATCCATCCGTCCGTCCGTCTGTCTGTCCGTTCGTCCGTGACTTCACGTTTTCGTCGACGAGAAAATGCGCTCTCTGTCACTCACTGCAGTGAGTACTGAGTTATATTTTTTCTATACTATTACATTGCTTCTGACACTTTTGCATTCAAAATGAAATCAAGAATAATTTGCTGCGGTCCCATCATGCATCTCAAGATTCTCGTAGAAATCATAAAAAATATAACTCAGTACTCACTGCAGTGAGTGACAGAGCGCGCATTTTCTCGTCGACGAAAACGCGAAGTCACGGATCGACGGATAGACAGACAGACGGACAGACGGACAAGGCGAGCACTATAGCGCCTTTTTTCATAAATGAGAAAATGCGCTAAAAACATGATTTCATATATTCTTTGATTATTTTTCCCATACATCCACATTTGGAGAAGAAGCAACTCTGAACCATATACACTCAGCACTGCATTGCAACTCTTTGACAGTGTGATTATCTGGTGGCGTGTCTCTTTAGCGTAAAATTCTCTGTACGCTGGTGCGTTATTCTGAAGTGAAGCTGATAATTTTATTTAAGCGAACATTCTTTTTAGAACTCCTATGTCAAACTGTCGGATTATTTGCATTGTCAATGCGATTATATTCTAATTAATCTTTTTAATAATGGGGATTTTCTGTGTAATTGACACAATATTAATCACATGAGACAAGCTCATAACCAGAGACCATACTTTCAAAACTCGCTAAGAGAACGTAATTACTTGCGCTCGATTTTCTTGTCTATGATTGGTGGATATTGCTTGAAAGGCCGTCAATGATTGGCTGATGAACTTACGATCTCTTAACTTTTTTGAAAGTTCGGCCCCAGACCGTCACTCGCACAGTGCCGAAGAAACCCACCAGCATCGTGATCAATCAGTGGTCCGACATCAACCGACCGACGATAGCTGGACCCCTCATCTCTGCGGATTGGACTTCAGCCATCAATCTCCTACGTAGCTACTGGATTTAATAAATAATAGCGGTTTCAGCGTTTATTAGGCCGTAGGCTTGTCGCCGATTCTTAACATCGCAGAACATTCTCAGCATTTCGCGGTCTTGAACTCGCAACTCACTGCTCCATTTCTGCTGTGCTTAACCGCCCGGCCTCCTTGCCGATTCAGACCAGAAACTGGCGCACAGAGCTGGGATCGAACCCGCGCCTCTCTGCGCCAATCTTGGTACTCTTAACTTTAACCACTGGGCCACCCTGCCCTTATTTGTGTGAACTATATACGAGAGAATTTTCAGAGTGATTTTTCTGGATCGAAATTTTACTGTTGTAACCTATTTAAATATATTTATTTGATAAATAAATTTACGTTACTCGAATCACCATGAATGATTCCGAAATAAACAATCGCTATCGCTATTTATGGTTAAAACACATTTAGTCCCTTGGTGATTGAAGGCCATGCGAAAAGGAGTTTAATGCCTGATTTCTTCGCATTGTCAGAAAATACGTCTGACTTTTTTGTATCGACTACATTCTCCTGCAAATTTTAGTTCCATGCGCAGCTAAGCAATATATATTGAGATTGTATTCTTCAATATTGTAAGGGCATGTTAGAGAAATGTACATTTTTTGGTGACTCTTATTTACTGTAAGTTCAATTAGATGGTAGTGTATTAATTTTTTGTTAGATTTTTCAAGTAGATCTTTTCCAGGTCATACCTCAACGTTGCCCACACGCTCATAATCTTAGTTTTTTTTAACTTCCGTCGCTATTATTATTTGAACAGTGCACATTGTATCCTTTTCATTATGATCTGTTGGGTTGGGGTGGCTACTTTATTATCCTCAAATCAATTAAATAATATTCCAAAGTGAACTTGAATATTTAACGCATAACAGCCAATAATTAGTCAGGAACCATATTCCATGGGATGAATTTTATTATGTTTCATTCATCATTCCTGTTCACCACGTTTTTTTTGCTCAAATGCTGAATATCTAATTCGCAAATCATGCCTGAAATATCAATGCTTCATGAGTTTCAAAACCCAATAATATGAAATTAATTACGGCGTCCTGAATAATAATTTTAGATAACAGAGCATGGGCTCTCTTGTTCATTTCAGTGTATCTAAATCCCGCAGGTATTTCGGTTGTGTAATTGGAGTGGTTAAACACATCACACAAGCATGCTCTTAATTGGAGTGTTTATTGAACACATCACACAAGCATGCTCTTAACTGGAGTGTTTATTGAACACATCACACAAGCATGCTCTTAATTGAGTGTTGTTAAACACATCACACAAGCATGCTCTTAATTGGAGTGTTTGTTAAACACATCACACAAGCATGCTCTTAACAGCAGTGGTTGCTAAACACATCACACAAGCACGCTCTTAACTCTAGTAGTTATTAAGCACATCACACAAGCATGCTCTTAATTTAAGTGTTTGTTAAACACATCACGCAAGCATGCTCTTAATTTGAGTGGTTATTAAACACATCACACAAGCTTGCTCTTAACTGTAGTGGTTATTAAACACATCACACAAGCATGCTCTTAATTGGAGTGTTTGTTAAACACATCACACAAGCATGCTATTGAGTCCCTTGTTATTTTCTGCCGCCGAATATATGTACCAGCCCGGATTTCACCCTTCGCATGTAAAGTTTTTTTCAGCAAGCTTTTGTAAGAAACAAATATTTCGAATAAATAACTTGTTTCTAGGAAAATTTTGTACAATAATTCTCACGTTTAATTTTAGCGTTTTATAAAACGTTCGGTTTTGATGTTCTACAAAGTAAATAATTATAACTCAATACATGATTTATGTGCGTCATCAGAAATTGAGCGACAGTACTAAATGCTGATACAGTAATATATATATATATCCATACAAAGTTAATAATCCTCGAACTTAGCCCGACCCTAGCCGTCGTAGTAACTTCACAAAATGTATTTAAAAGCTCGTAATAGATATTATGAAAGATAACAATCAGAACTTGAACGAGGAAAGAGTTTAAACTTTAAAGCTTAGCTCAAAACTTACTGGTACCTTTATTTTCCGTTCAGTGCATTTCTTTATTCTGAAATAAAATTTACAATCTAGGTAGGTTATTTCCTTCCCATTCTACGACTCGCAAATTTCGCTATATTTTAATTCCTTCCCATTTCTTTCATATTAAACCATTACTTTTTCACGTTTAACACGTGAACCATCAGAACATTCCCGAAAATTCAAATGGGTTTTCTTGAAAATATTTATCCAGATATTCATCAGATTCCATTGAATTCCCTGATAGCCATTCTTCTTCTGACAACAGCAACAGTTCACCGAAAGCATTTTCGTTCACTTTAACACCTTTGTTTGCCTCGTGGTCCACCTTCACATCCGCCACGTTGATAGGTTCGTGTTTTAAAGGAGTCCCGTCGGAACGCTCTCCGATGTCCACCTTCTCATCCACCACGTTGATAGGTTCGTGTTTTAAAGGAGTCCCGTCGGAACGCTCTCCGATGTCCACCTTTACATCCGCTAAGTTCCGAGGTTTCGGTTTGTAAGCAGTTTTGTCACGACGCGTCCCGCGGTTTGCCTCCAAATCCCCCAGGTTGATAGGTTACGGTTTCAAAGAAGTCTTGTCGGGACGCTTTGCTTTCAAATTTGCCAGTTTTTTTGGGTGCGTTTTTAAAGAAATCTTGCGGCGACGCTACCCGCGGTTTACCTCCAAATCCGCTAAGTTGATGGGTTGTGGTAATGGAAGAGCCTCGACGTAACTATCGTCGTCGCTTGAATAGTTTTCAAAACTTAAGAAGAGTGATGGCTCTTTATAGTTAATTGTTGGATCCCGCGGTCGTAACTTGTATCGATGCCCACTGTAATTCTCAAACGATCGGCTGTCATACTGCGAACAGCTAGAGAATACGCTCACCAAATTGCTGGAAAACTAATTTTAATTCGTCGCTATTGATAACAAATCGTTTCTCTATGTCATGTGCTTGTCTTCTTCAAGATCTTGACTCAATAGTTGAAACTTTTGAGGAACTTGACTTTCTTTCCCAACGTTTGTTTCGCTGGCGATTGTCTATATCTTCTTATTTTTTACTCGCTTCTTCTTCCTTGGTTCACATTTTGTCTCCTCGTTTTAATTTTCCATGTTTTTTCTATTATGCCTTCTGCGAAGATTATAGCGTTGTCTCATCTTGAATTTCAAGTTATCAATCCACGGGCAATCTTCGTTTTCGTTGCTGAGCTGTGGCTCAAGTACCAGATTCGTAGACACGATACGTTAACTCGCGTACCGTTATTAATTATCCTGAAAATATTTAAAATAATATTAAATTTAAAACATACAATTATTTGCGTATTGTTCGATGCATATTTCACACCAGAATATAGTAATTTTCGGAGTGCGGTCAGCGTTTGGAATTTCGATAGTTGGGTTGAAACAATGAGTTACCTGGCAAAACTGACAAATAATTGTTGCTGCTTTAATCAAGCTTGAAGAGATAGACTTTACTTGTTAGCGATTCTTATAGAGACGCTTAAATTATTTCTATGCTTTCATATATTTTATGAGTTCTTTGATTTGTTTTATACCTACTAGTGAATGTTCTCAATAATTATACGTTGTGCAACGTGGACAGATTATTACGTCGACAGGTTTGTAATTTTCGATCGTTGGTACGTTTGTCTATCATGGCAGAACAACGACTAGTCAGGGTAATTCTTCGGCGGCTGGCAGATTAAATTAAGAGCTATAATATTAATAAGCGCTGGTGCATTTAAGAGATAATGTTGAATTTTTCAAAAAGATAGACTAAATATTTTTACTGAATTTTTATGCAATGCATTTAATATCTTGTATTTGTGTTTTCATGCAAATGCGCTACCATAGATAATGTCATTTCTTTACAGAAGCAATTCGCCAGGAAAAATGTCTTCCTGACGACTTTGCTTACGGAAAGGCTAATTAAATAGCGTTCCCTCAGTTGGGGCTGATGGAGGAAGAGAAGGGTTATGTAGACACAAGATAACAGACGCAAGAGCCCAAGATATAGAAACACTGTATGGTCGAGAATATCAATGCATCAATAACGGCTTGAAAAAAAGGTTAATAATAGTGGGAGAGTACGTCTACACTCTTATGAAATCTGACATTAGAACCGATTAACGTTTCCGCTCATACTAATGTATGAAATTGTACTAGAACCAAGAAATTTTCCATAGTGGGGAAAATAAAAATTTTGAGAGTTTGAGACTTGCAAATAATCAATTTGGGTGCAAACCAATTGCTGTGCTGCATGCGACGATGGCACTGCGGAAGAACATCGCTTCTTGTTTCACGAAACGCCGTTTTATGTTAGAATATGCATGGTTACTGTTAGGGCAGTCGGTGACTACATGGGATACATTGTGACTATTAGGGGGAGTCGGTGACTCCCAGCGATGTATTGTGGCTGTTAGGAGGAGTCGGTGACTCCAAGCGATGCATTGTGACTATTATAGGGGAGTCGGTGACTCCAAGGATGCTATCTTTTGATAATTTATTTTAATAGCGTTTAATTTTTCTGCTATGAGATCGCTATTTCCCTTATGGAAACGTATCTTTCGGCGGTATTCCATTGCATTAAAAAAATAGAGTCACGGAATGGGAAGCAAATTCGATTCGTGTTGCAAAATCGTCGATGCTGGATTGATTTAAACGCTTTGTATGGATAATGTAAAGTTATTATGCTTAGCTTCAAGAAGCTTCTAAGGGCGCTTTCTTTTCCTAACACCGAGGAATTTCAACCAGTGCATTCAAAATGAATCCATAAATTCACTATACGAACTCAGACTTAACAGCACTGAAAAGTGTTGGTGAATGTGAAATTTCCAATTGTTTGTTGCGTTGACAAATTACTGTATTAGTTTCTGGGGACAGAGTTCGTTGAAGTAGTCGTAGACAATCAAGATGGACTGAAAGACACAGTGAAGCGATAGTGAATATTTTATTATGTTACGGGCGCGTGACAAAGCGGGGTGACTGTATAAGCAAGGCTTTAGCTCCAGCCAGCGAACGTACTGCTAAAGAGGCAGGGTGGTGACTGACTTTGTGCTGAAGAGTGAAGACACAGCGAAGAACCGCTAGTGTGATGTCACTGGAGATGACATACGCAATCAATGTAACAGCTAAGAGAGATGACGCAACTATGCTGGTCGGAGCCGGACAGAAACGCTCCCATGGCACCAGACAGTGGATATACTGGGAATAAATCGTCGATAATTATCCGCAAGTACGACTGAGCTTCCTCTCAAAGTGGACCATCCATAACAGGACTATTTAAATGGTCCTATGTAAACTTAACGGAATAAACGCAGGATTGAAGTACTATTATAAATGAATATGTCATTAAGATATAACCACTCTAATTTGTTGAACTCAGCAGAGGCATTTGTATCTAAACAAATAAACGTCTGTTTAGGAATGAAATTTTTATCTAGATACTATCTCTTCGTTGAGGCGCGAGCTTACTTTGATTTCTTATGTATTTCGTAGAGTTGTTCAACATTTCTGCACATTTTAATATTTCATTGTTTTTAAAAACGAATCATAGAGGGCGTAAAATTTATCATGTGCATCTACTGTTGAGGTCGCTATCTCTAGTGGGAGAATAAGTTTGTCCTTACATATAGTATGTTGAAAATCCCATTCGAACTCTAAATATAGGAATTATGGTCATAGGATTAGTCGCTGATTGTAGTTCTGGACTCAGTTTGTCATCTTGATACGGTGCGAGGATGATAAGACCGCTACGTACCTCAACTGAAAGTATCTTGCAACCCCGGCTCGCAGTGATGGGCTGAAGGTCGCTCCCTTCTCTCGTAGTAGTTTGCTGCTAAGCTACGTTAGTTATAACGTCCTATTTTCCACGCACCATCACAGTTATTAAAATTTTCTAATGTAAATTTTTCATGATTTAGATTTCTAATAATTTTCAATTTGTAACGAAGTGAAGTGAATTTCAATTAGCCATAAGTGAAAGTGTTTTTTCAAAACGAATGTTGCAAATCATGATTCATTCATTATCATAACATTAACTGAATTGATTGATATTCATGTAATTTTTCTCATTCCGCATTGGTCTCAGTTCAATTTACGTGATAAATTACCTAATTCAGTTCGAATTTGTTCGGTCAAATGAATTCAATGTATGAGCGTTTCTATTAACATGTACCTATTGTTTTTGAGTGTTGTTGAGCATAGCAGCTACTTTTATCTAATTTGTTATCACATTTTGTTGATACAAGCGATAGATAAGACAGTATCTGTAGTCAGGAACAGGCATGCAGGTGCTTAGGTTCATAGCAAAGGTATTGTCATGTAACTTTATAGACCCGGTGGGTCTATAAAGCTAAGTCTGTGAAGTTTAGTTCCCGGTATAGACAGTGCAGAGTACATGCAGGATTGAAGCAGCGAGCTATGGGTTCGATCCCAGCTTCCTGCGACAGTTCTGGTCAAATCGGTGGGAGGCCGGGCATTCAAGCAAAGCTAAATTGAAGCAGAGAGTTGCGTGTTCGATACCTGTGAAAAGCTGTGAATGATTGCGATATTATAAATCGGCGATAGGTATTCCGTAGAGCAAATAACCTTCATCAGAACATGTTACATGCAGGTATAGCGGTCTATCCTTAACGTATCCAGGTATAGCGGTCAATCCCACGCTAACACCACTGTACCAATTTACACTATAATAATAATAATAGCGGTTTCAGCGTTTAGTAGGCCGTAGGCCTGTCGCCGATTCTTAACATCGCAGAACATCCACAGCTTGTTGCGGTCTCGAACTCGCAACTCACTGATTCAAACTCTGCTATGCTTAACCGCCCGGCCTCCTCGCCGATTCTGACCAGAAACTGGCGCACAGAGCTGGGATCGAACCCGCGTCTCTCTGCGCCAATCTTGGTAATCTGAACTTTAACCACTAGGCCACCCTGCCCCACCCTGCACCACACTAATATCACCCCAGTCTCGTACGGCATTCATCCACTTAAGAAGAGGCTACTGGTCCCGCATTGGCGTTGCCTCAACCGTGTTAATCTGTGTATGCACTAGAACAATCATATAAAAAAACTAAACCGCCAAAACGTACAATTATTTATAAAATTTCTGAATTCTCGAGTTTTTGGTGACAAACTGAATAATTTGGTGACAAACTGAAAAAGGTGACAAACTGAATAATTTTTTTTTAGCAAAGATGAAAGGAGTATTATGTTTCTTTGCCCTCTTTGTGTGCCGATTTTATGCAGTCCACTGCGAGTCGGGGGCTACCCAAGCGGGACTTAGGGAAAAAGCAAAAGGGCCTTTAGGAAAAGTTCTCTTCGTCGCAGTGGTTGGATCAAAAAGCCACAAAAACTTCTACTATGGTGTCTCAGAAGCCCTAGCAAACGCTGGCTACGAGGTAAGTGTGATACAAACACCAACATCGATTAATCATATTAAGATCAATAAGATGCCGAATATGATGAATACTTCAAGTGGCGAGAGAAGGTTATGAGGCCTGAATACCTACAAAATTTTCCATTGAACATAGTATATAATATAAACCGCAGGATATTGATTTTAATAAATTATAGATATCATATGAATAAATATAGTCCCGACGTATTACTCCCATAAGTGCAAATTTCCCCAGTGCTTGAGTGATTTGATTTAAATCCAGTCCACTGTACAATTTCAGGAAATTTAGGCATATGTGGCACCCCAGTATTGATGAACGGCATGTAATCCAATAAAAGCTTTAACTTTTTTTTTCAGGTAACTATCCTCACCCCTTACCAGCCCTCTCGTAAGATCAAGAACGTTCGTGAGGTGAGGAGACAAAACATAATTAGAATACAAGATGAATCGAGAAATAAGTTGTGTTAAGGTTGCTTAAGCCTGGTTACACATTGATTCAATTACAGCGTTGTCAGGCTTCTTATTTTGATTTCGTGCTAAAATAATGCAATTTCATCAGATTGTTCTGGAAAGCAACGACATCGCACCACACATGGCTAATGTCTGGAAAGACGGATCCTTCGCCCCCATCTGGCAACTTACTAAATTTGGACCCGAGTTGTGCGCGAAGGCTCTTGCCGCCGACGAGTATTCCGAAGTTCTTAAAGAAAAATTCGACATCGCGTTTGTGTCTGTGTTTTTCTGCGAGTGCTTCTTAGGACACATAAACGCTATGAACGTGAGTATCGTTGCTTTTTTAACGAGTCAATGAGACATTCTTGGACGAAAACGAACTAAATGTCAGGTAATTTTAACACATTATACAAATTCATCATTCGATACAACAAATCTAGTGAAAAATATAAAATTTTCAGATCCCTTTCGTTTTTGTCAACCCTGCTGAAATGATTGGACCTTTTTCTGGGGCGAGGATGGGCAACCCTACATTCCCCACTATAGACGAGAACCCCATGCTGTCATTCCCCAGGCCCATGTCTTTCGTGCATCGCTTTATATCGTCTCTCAGTGAAGTAATGCTGGGAGCCATGACGACTTACTTCAGTTACTGGTGAGCAAAACCTTGACAGCAAATTTTTTTAACTCGTAATAATATTATTTTATTGCGACTTCATAAACACTAATTTTGACTCGAGATGATATTTTCACTTCCTTTGTGGCTGAATCAACTTTCTGGATTTCTGGCCTAAACACAAAGCATCTGCGAGAGCAAGGCAACGTATATTTCAAAGGTATATTTGTAGTGGATGCATTTACCCCCTCATTTGTCGAAACGTCAAGCGCATCGAGATTTGAAGCAGCAATTTGTGGGTTCGAGTTCCAACAAGCTATAAAAATTTTGCACTACAGCTTACTTAGACGGGGTTAACTAGCTGTCAAAGGTTGATTTTTTATATACCCGATATATAAAACATTCATTTAGTAGAGGAATTTTACTTAGAGAAATTATAATTACGATTGTGCTTAGCCTCATTTCTTATACTCATGCACTTTTTTGATTCATGAAAAGTACTATCCAAAAATTCAAAGGAACATCAAGGAAATTAACTCGCCTATTTTTTCAATTCAAGTTTAAACATTAATTATAATCGAACGGTTTTTTATGTTATCTTTTTAATCGGTACCTCTTTAGTTGTTGTTTTAATGAACTCTCCAGAAATATCTATTTTAGATCCATCCTTATAAGATTAAATATTAAAGTAAATAGATTGCCACATTAAAAATCATATCTCATTTTGACCAAATTTTTCTCAAGTCCCATTCGCAGTTAGAACTCTCCGTAAGTTACGCACTTGAAGTCCTATTTTGTAAATATTCTACAAAAATTTCGTAACCATTTTAGCCTTAAGTATTTCTATAACTTAAGAAGTAATTTCAAAGTTTAAATATCTCAAATACATTTCATTAGTGCGGATTCCGTTGTTCGAAGCCAAGGACTTTTGCCTCCAGGAACTCCCTACCTGCCTGACATCTACCGCAACGCCTCACTCATGATCGCTAACAGGTTCTGCCATTCAGTGTTATCACTCGAAATTATTTTACTTTGTTGATCCTGAACAACGGATGTTGAATATATAGTGCTCGTCAAGTCTTTAATGTTAGAAAATGAGATAAATTGAGTTCTATTAGATGCCGGCACCAGTTTTTCTTTATAATCTATGTATACACGCGCTATTCAAGTGTCTTTTCATGTCTATCAGTTTCGCACAGACTGTCAATCGCATTAGAACGGCTATAAAATCCTTTGAAAATTTGATTTCAATTGTCATCTGAAGTATTGTTTTCAGATTTGAACCATTTTATCGACATCTGAAGTAACGCTTAACATGTAGAGCATTACAATGATTTAGTAATATTTCCGTGTAGTTTTTTTTATAATCTGAAGTATTGTTTTCAGATTTGAACCATTTTATCGACATCTGAAGTAATCGCTGAGCATGTAGAGCGTCACAATAATTCAGATTTATTTTAATGCAGTTTCCGCTTGGCTGAACACCCACGCCCCTACATGCCAAACATCCTCCTGCTGGGGGGCATCCACCTCAAGACTCCCAAGCCACTAGAAAAGGTCATTAAGATTTGGTGCCGACGATACGCTAAGTCAACATATGGTTTTAGTTGATGAAAAACATAAAACTGTATCACCATAGAAGCCAAGTTCACTGAATTCAAATTAGATAAAAATATTCCTAGATGATACTTAAGTTTAAATTTTTTTGTAGTATTTTGCAAAGAATTCTTGCACCCACAATGAAGAGAATACGCTAAGCCATTTCACTACTCAGGACCTCAATGATTGGGTGGAGTCCTCCGGAGACGCTGGCTTCATCTTCTTCAGTTTAGGATCAGCAGTTCGAGCCAGCGACATGCCAGCCGAGTGAGGAAACCATAGTCGTGAAGAATTTATAATAACTATAACTATAGTTAATTATATACCATATAAACAATGATTTAATGGTGTTCATATCAGTTCCGGTGCCGCCGAGAGGAGAAATTTCGATGATGAATTGCCACGCCGGGAAATGTGTATACCTCCACTTTAAACGCAAACAACATAGACATTTTTTCATCGTTTACTCAATTCAATTCGGAACGGGCTTAAAACTTTCTGCAAAATAAATATCATTTTTAGATAATTGAATTCGGAACGAGCTTAAAACTTTCTGCAAACTAAACCTTATCATTTTTAGAATTGTATCTTGACTATTTTAGGACGATCAACCTGTTGCTGGAGGTGTTCAAGTCCCTGGAACAGAAAGTACTTTGGAAATTCAACCTGCCTGACCTGGGGGTCGACCTGCCACCCAACGTCCGCTTGACCACTTGGGCGCCTCAACAAGACTTACTCGGTGAGTGATGTTTATCACCAATATTTTTATTCTTGGAAATGATTCGTTTCGTTAAGTGAGGAAAAGATTAGGTTTTCGCTTTTCCCACCAGGCAAATTGCGTTAAAACAACGTTTAATTAACATTGATTCATAGAAATAACGTTTAATTCAACGTTGATACAACATCAGATGTCTAGGGGGTTACGTCGCTCCTCCATTCTATCAGTATAAAAGAGATGAGTAGAATTAGTGTTCAGAAATTACCTTTTACTAAAAGTTCACTGGGAAAAAACTTTTTTTTTTGCATTTGAAATCGTATCAGTCTAAAATTGATATAGTTATTCATTATATCCAGAAATAAACTTTTAGTAGATGTTCATTGGGATTTTTTTTCAGCTTTTGAAATCAAATAGATCCCAAATTGCTATTATGTATTCGTTGTTAGACAGAGGATTTACTATGCAATGTGTAACTTACAGGCCACCCCAAAATGCGGCTGTTCATCACCCACGGAGGCTTGTTCAGCACACAGGAGGCCACGTACCACGGAGTGCCTGTTCTCGGCCTCCCAGTTTTTGGTGATCAGGTGACTTTCACTTAGAAATAATTATAATTAAAAATTTTCTTTCGTTCTTTCATTCTTAAGGTTCAATGTAAGTCTGCGACTAAATCCCAATAAATTAATCCAGCCTCTTAAATTTTTAAGATAAATCACTTCCTCGTAAAAAAACCATTGGTTTCACTGATAAATAGAATTTTTTATCATGAAATTAGAAACGAATATGCTGGTGGGAACAACCTTGAATTTCTCATAGCTCGTTTCTCGCGAATATTTAAAATCCTTAGAACAAAAGATTACTGCGTAACTTAAAATCCCAACTGACTGCTCAACGATGATGCCCAGTTTAACCAGTTTGAGCATAAAATTAGTGCATTTTCTAATATTGTTTAATGTACATGTTACTATAATATACTATATTTCAACCCACAGCCCGGCAACATGCTGAAAGCCGAGGCTCAGGGCTGGGGCCTGAAGCTCGACTGGGACGAGCTCTCACACGACCGACTCAGGAGCGCAATTCTCCGCCTCATCGACGATCCTGTGTACGATTTATTTCTGAACAACACATTCGTAGGAGTTACCGAACTCGATTTTATTACAAATTTTATTTAATTGTTTCTGGCATACCATTTATTTCTGAGCAGCCCTTTCGTAGGAGTTGCCGAACTCGATTTTATTACAAATTTTATTTAATTTATTTAATTGTTTCTGGCATACTATTTATTTCTGAGCAACGCATTCGTAGGACTTACCGAACTAGATTTTATTACTCATTTAATTTAATTGCTTAGGGTATACAATTTATTTTTTAAGCCATAACCCCATTAGTAGGAGTTACCGACTTTTTTTTGCTTCCTGATATAATTTAATTGCTTCTGACAAAGAATTTATTGCTGAACCCACTCGTAGAATTTAGCGAATTTTATTTGATTTCCGATATAATTTAGTTGCTTCTGGTCTGAATCACGTCTCTGATACACCGTGCTGTTTTGTTGTATCATTTCTATATAATTTTACGATTTCATTCCAGAGCAAGTTATTTCTGAAGATTTTAATGATTATCCTGACTGTACCTGGATGTAATTACAGTACTGACTGTATTATTCATTATTAAATAATCGTCATCAAAATCATTCAAATGAATATTATAAATCATTTTTATACTTCATTAATTTGCTTACACCGTAAGTTCACAAAGAATTTAAAAGCAAAGAAAATGTCTCCAATGACGATATTGTGAATTTATATGACATTTTCTTAGCTTTTATATCATTTGATATTAAACAATAATATAATAATATAGCGGTTTCAGCGTTTATTAGGCCGAAGGCCTGTCGCCGATTCTTAACATCGCAGAACATCCACAGTTTGGTGCGGGTTTGAACGCGCAACTAACTGCTTCAATTTTGCTTTGCTTCACCACTCGGCTTCCTTGCCGATACTGACCAGAAACTGGCGCACAGAGCTGGGATCGAACCCGCACCTCTCTGCTCCAATCCTGGTACTCTGAACTGTAACCACTGGGCCACTATGTTCTTAACTGTTTACGGAATTAATTCAGAGCTCGACAAAGAGTCGCCACCATCGGAGCCCTCATGCGCGATCGCCCTACATCCCCGGGCGACGACATCGTCTGGTGGACAGGCTACATCATCAGGACGGGCGGCGCTCGTCATCTCCAGTCCGGTGCTGTGCATGTATCATGGTACGCATGTGGAGTATATATATACATTAATAGGCAATGTGTTTTTATGCAAGTTGTTGTAATAATTAAGTTTTGGTGTTTCATGACGTGGAAGTCATCTATGTGGTCATTCAGTTTTCGCTTGGGTGATTGCACACCTTGTTACACGGTACCATGCAAAAAGCAAATATGTTTCCGCGTACATGCCCGATGCTTGTAGACACTGATTTTATATATGGAGACGAAGCTCAGAAGGTTATGTATGGAGTTGAAGCGAGTAACTCGGGCAGCAGGGTAGAGATAGTGCTCCTACTAAGTACATAAATGAATATTAAACAAAAATAATGGCGCATTAATCAGGGCTTTTGCAAATTGTATTTTCATTGTGTTATTTAATTAGTTTGTAAAAGTGCCATGAATATTATTATGTTAGCATTTAGATTTCTTAACGCGGTTTCGTCGCTTATTAGGCTGTAGGCCTGTCGCGGATTCTTAACATCGCAGAATACTTACAGCTTGTTGCGGTCTCGAACGCACAACTGACAACTCATTGCTCCAATTCAGCTGTGCTTAACCGCCCGGCCTCCTTGCCGATTCTGACCAGAAACTGGCGCACAGAGCTGGGATCGAACCCGAGCCTCAATGCGTCTACTCTGAACTGTAACCACTGGACCGCCCTTCTCGAATTATCTTCCTCACATTCTTCTCTGTTTAGGTATCAGCTATACAACGTGGATGTCTGGGCGGTTGTCGTACTCTTCGTCTTGCTGATACTCTGGGTCGAGTGGAAGATTGTGCTCTTCATCTACAGGCGTATCGTTTCAAAGCCAGCATCCGACGTTTCCAAGAAGCGCAAGAAGCATTAAAAAAGATTTGCGATTTCACATCGATTCAAGTTGCTGGTTCACAGCAACATTGTTCACAGTTTTCTTCATAAATAAAATTTTCAAAAAGACGGTAACTCCATCAGTTCCCATCATCAGCATTTATTGTGCCTGTTTACTTGAAACCTGTTACACTTGAACATCTTGATACTCGCATATTTTAATTGTCCCTCTACGCAACCGAATCGCACTGCACGTACAATTTTTTTTTGCAAAAATTAAATTATCGTAGTTTCGAATGACATACGAGTACATGCCTCCAAGCGTTCGGTTCAAAAGTTAGTCAAAAGTTTTAATTTGGAGACCAGGCGCGAGACCGACCGGGAAAATGGCACTGAGGTTTTGCTGGATTAAAGTTCGTCTAAGGATTTTTTCCCCTACATTGGATCGTATCAGAAAATATATAAGGATTTAAGTAACTTTGTTCCATTTGAGTTGAATGAAGATAGCTTTTTTTAAACCACTTTTTCTAGAATTTTTCTTCATATTTTCATCTTTACCAAAAATGCTTGATATCATCGAAGCCGCCAGAGGCGCTACTGTCGAAACGGATGAACGTTTGTTCCATAATTGCGAAATTTGGTTGTTGGTGTCCGAGAGCGGCGAGAAGTCGTAGCGCGGGAAGCAGCGCAAGAAGGAAACTCTGACAGGGAACAGGTTGGGAGGTGCTTTGTACACCACAAAACTTGAAAAATAAGAAGGAACGTGTGAGGTTACTGTATTCCAGTCAATACCTGGTAGAGTCGCGGTAAGAAGGCTGCATTTCCGACTTGTCGAAAATGAAAGACGAAATGTCTCTTCTTGAATATGGAGAGGCTACAATGGAAGTCAAGAGCTGCATGGTAAGCACTGCTGCACTAATCATTAATGTATGTGATTGAAATTTGTTTAATGAACGCGTGAATTTTTTATTTCTAAAGTTAGTGACTAAACTCGGAACTAGATTTTATAAACGTTTATTGAACTTTAGACAATTTACTGACTAGTTACTGTCAGTCTGTTAATGAGACTGAATCATGAATGAGTCAATGACTTGCTAGGCTATGTGTGGTAAGTGGTTAGCTATTATTATTTTTTGTTTTACCTACCTAATGCTACCATTACCAATAGTGTTTTGCAATCTCAATTTTGAAGATGCTATTTGTTATATAAGAATTCCTCTAGAATTTAGAATCAGTCTCTCAGCTCCTTAAAGGCAGGAAGTCTTTCTTTTTAAAGTGGAAAATTTTGCAGAATTTACCCACAGATTCAAATTAGACAGAAATGCCTGTGAATCTAGTACTAGTACATCATACATGTTTAGTTGTTTCTAGTCTTTTGCTAATTTCTTCATTGGAAACCAAGAAAAACTGTTCATTTTCACAAATGATTCTCTTAAATTACTCATGAAATGATTGCTTTTGCCTTTGATTTTTGGTAACAATTTCTGCCTGATATTCCAAATAGGCTTTGCTTGTGGTATGAAAAGTAGAAAATTTTCCACCTGAATTCAAATGTTAGTCATGGATATTTTTTTAATTTTTTCTCTATAATAGAAGGGAGCATATTGTTTGTTTACCAGTAATTAAAATTTTTACAGCATTCTAGTAGCTATAATTCAATATATCTACCCATCAAGCCGCTAATACTAACAGGATTGGAGGTAATACTTTGGATTAAATGCATCCAAAAAAGGGTGTTTTTTTTAATTAGGTAAACGCGGTATATTCCGTCACATTAAGGACGCATCGAGAAATGAAAAACTAAAAAAAAAACCGTATGCATTACTCGAGTTCTGTTTGCTTTATTTGACTTGCAAAACACCGTACTACGCGCCAGCAACAATGAAACGTCACAAAATGTTGCCATATTTATTTAAAAGCCTTTAGAATGGAAACCTACCAAATCCCTATATTCCGTCACTGTGTGTGGCAATATTCAGCACCTGGTGAGGCGTATTACGTCCGTGCTTCAAATTCTACTGATACGTAATGCCGTCACCACGTGTTCGAATTCTGTTTGCTGTGTGAGCTGTATTGGAATACAACACGGCTTTGAATTAGAACACTAATGAATATAGAACACTACTTAATTACGCTTTTAATTAACAACTATTAAGCTTTTAATTAAGCAAATTTTAATTTTTGTACACAGCTTGGAACGATCTGTGTGTGTCCAATTAAAGTTGTGACAGAATTAGTTTTCATGTGTCTAAATCCATTTCTCAACTTAATCATCTATTAAGTTATTCACTATTTGGTAGAGCAAGGTCAACTGTCAAATTTGACACATTTTTCAATGATCTCACTGGGTAGCGTGCATCGTCTCTCTTTGGATCTCAATATTTTCCCACTAGATGGCCAAGACCTAGTGTTTTGGCATTAGTTCGACACGCAAATGTATGACGTCACCATTTCAACCATCAACGAACGCATGGAACTAAAACAAAGCTCAATATAGAGGAAAAACTAAAGAGGTGACGGAATTACCTACTATGACGGAATATACCGCGTTTACCCTATATGTTTTTTGGGGTGTAGATAAAGAATCTGGAATTTGTATTTGGCTGTCGGCATTGGAAAACCAATTTTTATACATGCCGATTTTTATATATTTTCTAAGAAAAAATGCAAGTTAAATCTTGGCCCCAATATCCGTGGATTTATAGCGTTTTTAACTTAGCCTGGGTGACCCATATTCTCTTGCAACCACAACATTGCAGGCAACCACGACATTGCAACCACCTTTAGGTTAGGTTAGGTTTTTTCGTCGATTTTTGTCCAATTTTTTTACGAATTAGAGCCTAGGGGAAAAAAATCAGTTTTCCAATGCCGACCGCCAAAAACGGATTTCAGATTCTTTATCTACACCCTAAAAACATATAATAAAAAACACCCTTTTTTTGATGCACTTAATCTAAAGTATTACTGGATTGGAATTTTCCTATTTGTTTCTGAAATCTCTTGCTTCTGGCATGCCAAATTTTAATACATTTGTAAACTCACCAGCCTGATCATGCACTTTTGTTAACAATTAGATAGGCAATTCATCTGGCGGGAATCTTGTGGTTCCGGAAATGTTGGGATTACTCCATACTCGGGAAAGCACTAGTTGCGGCCATAAGGGTGATGTTTTCCATGCTTGAATACTAATAGGTAGTGCTTTTCCCCAATGTTTGGAGTCATGAGATTCCTGCTAAATGAATAACCTCCTATCTAGTTATTAATAAAAGTACAAAACCAGGCTGCAAATTTCAAATGTATTGAAAATTTTCCATTTGGCAGCTTAGAGCCATTAGATTTCATAAGTAGAAAATTTCAATCCTGCTAGCCAGCATTACTTTAACTTTAACATGTGGTTCAAAGTAGAAAATTAGGCAAAGGTAATCTGTATTTCATTAAACACTGAACACTGTTGCAATGCTATGTTCCTGTTGACTGTTGTGCAGTTAGCTATCTGCTATTGAATATTATGGCATGAGATCCAAATAATTGTCAAAAGAATTAACCATATTGAAAATGACTGCTGATATAATGAATATATATATACCGTAAAATGGGGTAACTTAGACCGGCGGGGACATATTGAAAATGACTGCTGATATAATGAATATAATATATTAATAAGACATAAAAATTATAGCTTATGGTCCTGTTGCTACTACCTCCTGGATGACATGGAAATGTGGTTAAAAAACTAACTAAATCTAACTTAGTCTAAGGGAGCTAAGCCATACAAAACTCTTTCCAGCTTTGACTCAAGTATGTTGTTACAGAATCCTTTATTTATCCACATTAAGAAGAGAAGTGATTCCAACTACCAATAATGCAGCATCAGTTGAGCCATTAACACATTGACTACGATTGCTTCATCTTGTACAATTATTTCATTTTTTGTACTTTTTTTAAGCAGGGTTGCCAGACGGTCATTTTTTCCGGACAAATTCAGTGATTTAGTTTTTCTCAATTGCGTTGGCTGGCTAAAATTTATGACAGGGGTACTTCCTAATTAAATTTTAAATGCTGCAAAAAGAAAATGAATGGAATTTTTATAGCAGAACCTACAAATAAACTAGTATACATTTAATTATCGGCCTTTTTTGTTCTCGGATTTTGCCGATTTTAGGCAACCTGAATTATGTACCACTACCTCCTGGAGAAATACATTTTGTGGTACATATATGTACCAATACGTAGTCAATGTGTTAAAGAAGCAAATCCCAAAGCAGCTCTAATGATCCCAGAGTGTAGGTATAAAAAGGCCATTGTAAACATCAGCATTGGCCATTGGGTGTGAGAAGCCATGCTGAATGATTGAATGATATTAGTCTTAAAATTATCTCATTAGATTCTAGATGAGCCATCTAAAATCTTGGTTTGTGTGACTTTTGACCATTCTTCTGTGGGTGCTTAAAACTTTGTCAATTGATTAATTTTTGTTGAAGAAATATCTTATTAACATCATTATTTTTACAGGTTCCCTGTAAGCTGAAGCTCAGTGAACAAGGCATTGCCTTCCGAAACCTCAAGACTGGTAAAGCCGAGACTCTCGCTCCATCTGACATTGCTGTTGTAAACTGGCAGAGGCTGTCAAGTGGCTATGGCATCAGAATTTTCACAAGTAATGGAAATCTTCATAGATTTGGAGGTTTCAAAGATTCAGTGAGTTTATTAGTTTATAATTTATTTGTGTTACCTCAAAATTTGTCTTGGTAATTAAATATTTTTCTTTTCATTGTGACCTCTCATTGAGTTAATTAAATCTAAATTTTAAAATGTGTCATCACCTTCACGCGAATAAATTTGTTACAAATTCTCCCCAAATGAATGCCTTTAAAAAAAACTTCATAAAAATCATTATAATTTTATTATAATGTTATAAGTTATTCTAAAACCAATCTAAATGCTACTTTGCTCTCCTGTGTAATTATTTATTATTTAATTTTATTTTAAATTCAATCCTTTGAAATCAACTTTTAAAAGAGTACTATTTATTTTATAAATGACTTCTCATATATATATTTTTATGTATGGCATTAGGGACTTATTTCCATCATACAGTATAAATGAATTAGAGCTAATCATCTATAGAATATTAAAATTTTATGATAATAATGTAGTTACTTACAAATATTTCCTTTGCTTGGCTTATGCAGGAACAGTCACGTCTGGAGAAGTTTTTCAAGAACACCCTGAACAAAACAATGACTGAGAAAGAATTTAGTGTCAAAGGTTGGAATTATGGAGCAGCCAAATTTGAAGGATCTGTTTTATCATTTGAAGTCAGCAACTTGACATCATTTGAAATTCCTTTACATAATGTGTCTAGCTGCACCACTGGCAAGAACGAAGTTACCTTAGAGTTCCATCAGGTGAGATGCAAAGCATGCACCAATAATACTTAGTGATGCAATATTTAACATTTTTTGTTGAGAATTCTCTTAATTGATGAATATTTTATTTAATTTATAACCCGTGAAAGCAACATTAAAATGAGCATTTCTTTAATTAATGCAAGGAGGACTTAATTAGTATTAGTTATTGGAAATTTTATTTTAATTTAGTTCAACACAAGGGATTCCAGAGGTCCTTGGTTATTTATTGCCTGAAAATTCATCGAATATGTCTTTGGATATCTCGTATTGAAGCTACAGTATTAAAATGAAATAGCATTACTCTTTTATGCAATCATTTGATTTGTTTGTTTGGTATTAATTTGTCAATTTTTCACTGGTCAGCCTGATGAAGCACCAACCAACCTGATGGAGATGAGATTCCATATACCCACTAGTGAACTGGCAGGAGAAGATCCTGTTGAGGCGTTCCAGCAGAAAGTATCTGAGAAAGCTTCCATACTCACCGCTACTGGCGAGTCACTTGTTACCTTCCAAGAACTGCATTGTCTCACTCCTCGGTGGGTTGTCTGCCAAGAAATTGGGCTTACTTTCCACTACTAAATGTCCTGTTGTGTTTCAATAAATTGACTGATTTATTTCTACTTAATTCTCTATGGTACATTGGCTTGCAGCCAGAATAATTAATCATTTAATTTATCAACATAAGCTATTCTATGAAAAGATATGTCTGAATTTTTACAGTTATTTTGTTTATTATTCGGCTTGGTGGCTGAAGAATTTTCTTGCTACAAAGCAGCAGAAACTAAAATTATTTCAACAGTTAAATCTTAGCATAAGAGTTAGAGTCTGGGTTTCAGTTTTTGTTAGTTATGTAGTGTATTATATCAGTTTCTTAAATTATATTGCAGTGCAAACTCCTTTATTTAATAGGGTCACAAGCTGGTTGCCTATAAGAAAGTCTTATGTTGCAGTGGTCGTTACGACATCAAATGCTACCCAACCTTCTTGCAACTGCATGGCAAATCCTTCAACTTCAACATACCTGTGGAGTCAGTGTTGCGGCTTTTCTTACTGCCTCACATGGACGGTCGACATCATTTCTTTGTTGTGAGTGATACAAGTTTGTTTGGGTGATCTGTGATGTGAGTAATATAAGTTTGGTTAGGTGACAATTATTGTGAGTGATGCAAGCTTGTTGGGTGACATGTGTTGTGAGTGATATAAGTTTGGTAAGGTGACCTGTGTTGTGAGTGAAACAAGTTGGGTTAGGTGACCTGTGTTGTGAGTGATACAAGTTGGGTTGGGTGCGTTGTGTTGTGAGTGATACAAGTTGGGTTAGGTGACCTGTGTTGTGAGTGATACAAGTTTGGTTGGGTGATCTGTGTTGTGAGGAATTGAAATTTTATTAACTAGTACATAAATGTCTTTTTTTAAATACAGATTTATGCCATTACAAGTTAATTTACTTAGTATTAGAAGTTTTGTTTCTAAAACTTATTTAGCTATCATCCCATTAATGTTCATGTAGATGAATTAATTTTGATATGTTTGATTTGTTCTGTCTTTTTGTTAGTTATAAGTTGTAATAAGACCTTTGCTTCTGCACAGGTGTCATTGGATCCTCCAATCAAGCAAGGGCAGACCCGCTACCCTTACCTCATCATGATGTTTTCTGGGGACGACGAGGACGAAATAGAGCTCCCTTTGTCTGAGTAATAATAATTGAACTATTTTTACTTGTATTAACTGTGAATTGATGGAAATGTAACTACAAGAATATTATAGAATTGGGAACACCGATGTATATTTGAGTAGCAATAATAATAAGTTCAAATTTGTCATGGATGTAATTTTACTGTTAGTTCATGTAACTGAATCATAAAGAGTTTACTTTGAATTAGAATAATGTAATTTTTCTACAAGGATCTTTATGTGAATTAAATTAATCCACCTGTGATAAAAAAAGTTTAAAATGCGAGTGAATGGTTTTACTTACTTTCAAAATATTTAATTTGGCCTGCATAATTTACTGCTTCTGTTTTGAATTGATTTGCTTACCTGGCATGCAATTTGAATCAAACTCCATTGCTATAATGAACTCAAGCTGCGGTTTAAAGTAATGTAATGAATTGTTAAGAATTTATTAATATTTTAATTGTATGCAATAGACATAAAAAGTGCTCATGGTTTTGAATAGCAGGTTAAAAATTTACCATTTTTTTTAATTTGAGCCAGATTCTGTATTTATATCATGCACTGAAATTGCGCTAACCATTTATAGTTACTCATGATTTGTTTGTGCAGGGAGGAATTGAAGGAAAAGTTTGACGGCCGGCTGGAGAAGGAGATGAAGGGTCCACAGTTTGAGCTCGTGAGTCGTCTCTTCAAGGGCCTCTGTGGCAGGAAGATCGTCACTCCTGGATCCTTCTTGGGGTTAGTTCTGTCCTGCTGCATACTACAGGTGCCACTTCCCTTGGATGGCTGCTTATCAGTTGTGGTTGTCTGCTTGATTATTGATTAGTCAGTCACTTCCTATTTATTTATTGATCAGTCGCTTCATATCATTAGGTCCATCTGATTACTTTGTCAACCAATGCTCATGTGAGAATGAAGTGAGGTATGTGAAAATGATGTGGAGTATGTGAGAATGATGTGGGGTATGTGAGAATGATAGGGTATGTGAGAATGATAGGGTATGTGAGAATTGNGGTATGTGAGAATGATGTGTGGTATGTGAGAATGATTTGGGGTGTGTGAGAATTATGTGGGGTGAATGTGAATTATGTGGGGTGTGTGAGAATGATGTGGGGTATGTGAGAATGATGTAGGTATGTGAGAATGATGTGTGGTATGTGAGGATGATGTGGGGTATGTGAGAATGATAAGGTATGTGAGAATGATGGGATATGTGAGAATGATATCGGTATGCGAGAATGATATCGGTATGCGAGAATGATATCGGTATGCGAGAATGATGTGGGGTATGTGAGAATGATGTGGGGTATGGGAATGTGATGTGTGTAATTACTCATTATCCTCCATCTGTTATTATATGATGATTTTTTTACAAAAAACACTGATCAAAGATGGCTTGCGTTTGATTAAATTCTAGTTCAAATCATTAGGTTCCATTGAGTTATAATCCTCATGAACTAGAAATGCTGATGGTAATTTGACAAGATATTTCATACTGGGAAACATTTTGCAGGCATTCAGGGAACCCATGCGTAGGGTGCTCATATAAGGCGGCAGCAGGCCACCTGTACCCCCTAGAGCGAGGCTTCTTCTACTGCTACAAGCCACCCATACACATCCGCTTCGAGGAGATCACGTCTGTCAACTTCGCGCGCTCCGGCTCCACAACGCGCTCATTTGATTTTGAGGTCTGTTATTTCTGCTTATATTTTATGCATGTGATATGCAGAAACTAAATTTGTGGGTTCATTTTGTTCAGTAGGCTAAATTCTGTGATTTTAGTAAGCTATTTCAGTACAGTAATATCATTTGTTCCTGATTATGATAGTATCTGGATTAAAGAACATAAACCTATTCTTGTAGTCGATTTTGACAATTTATGTCCGAAATTTCGCGTCTTTACTGACCTTGTACCATTGAAACACTAGTCATCTGAGTGGAAGTTCTTATCTTCATGTGTCAAATTCCTGACTTTAGCCTAAAAGCTTTTTGTTCATGTTTGATTTTGTTATGTAAATGTTCATGTTTATTTTTATTCATTTTTCAGGTCGAAGTTAAAAACTCCGGAACACACACGTTCAGCAGCATAGAAAAGGGCGAGTATGACAGACTTTTTGATTACGTCAAAAGTAAAAACCTACGAATCAAGAACCGAGGCAAAATGGTATGTAATTGCTTCTAAATTGTATTCTTTTTATGAAAAAATTGGAGTGACCTTAAAAAATCATCCAAAATTGTGAACAATCGTATTTTGTATTGCTTTTATCTGGACAGTGTTGACTTTAATGTATATTTTTTACTTACTCACTTTTTGGTAGATGGCATTTGTTGTAAGTTAGTGATTTATTTGCTAAATTTTTACTACAATCGTATTTTTGTACTAGCTATTGCTTATGTCTGGACAGTGTTGACTTTAGTGTATATTTTTCCTTATTCACTTTTTGGTAGACAGAATTTGTTGGAAGTAAATGATTTATCTGCTAAATTTTTCCTATTAAATTTGTGTTAAGGATGGAGCACGTCACGGCGACGACGATTACCTCAACTCGGACGATGAGCCCGACCATTACATGAACCGTGTGAAGGCGGACGCTGCCAAATACGGTGACGATGACGACGACGATGAGGACGAGGAGAGCACAGACGAGGACTTCGCGCCTGGCGAGGAAGGCAGCGACGTGGCTGAAGAGTGAGTCAAAAATGCTATGATCTTAATTCTAGGAAATTATATTAGCAATAGTTATAGCTGGAAAAGATTTCGTGGTTGTTATCTTGATTTGGAATCGATTATGATGGGTCCTGTTTTTGCGATTCAAGTATGAGAGAGCCTGCTTATTTGTACTGTAAAATCTCGTGATCCCAAAATATTGGTTTGCTGTTAGTACAGAAAGCAGTCGTTAGGTCGCTGGATATTGAAATCATTCTTTCCTTTGATGGATATTGCCTCCAATCATTCAATGGATATCGGTGTGTGTTCAAACAGGTTTGACAGCGATGCGCCCGACTCCAGCGATGATGGCTCAAATGCTTCCGGTGGTGAAGATGGAGAGAAAAAAGAAAAAAAGGTATGTTCATCAAGCATCTTGTATCAATTTCAATATTCGTTTATTAGAATGCGATTTGATCGAATATAGCTAAAGCTTAACACCTATTCGTGAGCTTTGGCATTAGTCTTAAACTAACACTATAAACTGAACACCAGCATCAGCATCCATTTCCATTGTTTGTGCCAATGTTTCATATAAATTTTGAAAGTGTCTATCGAAATTTTCACTCATTGTTATATGCTACTGTAAGTTACTGACAAATTTAATTGTCTTGACTTTTAATTATTTTGACATAGCCGAAGAAAGCAAAAACTGTGAGCGAAAAGCCGCGCAAGAAGCGCCAAAAGAAGGACCGCGACGACAACAAGCCTAAGCGCCCTCAGTCAGCGTACTTCTTGTGGCTCAACGCTCACCGCGAGGAAATAAAACGCAAGAATCCTGGCATTTCCATCACGGATTTGTCGAAGAAAGCTGGCGAAATGTGGAGGGAGCTTAGCGATAAGAAAGAGTGGGAGGAGAAGGCTGCTGAAGCGAAATCGGACTACGACGAAGCCATGAAAGAGTACAAGGCATCGGGAGGTGGCAAGAGCAGTGGTGGCTCTGACAAGAAATCTAAACGAAACGTCAGCTCTAGTAGTTCTCCTAGCAAGGCCGGCAGTGGCGGAGGCTTCAAGTCCAAGGAATACATAGAGTCGGAAGAAAGCTCTGATTCTGGAGAAGACGAAGCAAAAAGTAAGAAGAAGACGAAAAAATCGAGTGAAGTCAAAAAGGAATCTGAGGCTGAAGAAGAGTCATCCAATGCCAGTGATGAGGACATGTCGGAATAAGTTTATCTATCTGTTCACAGGCTACAGTTTTAGCCGGAGCTAGTTGTTGCCAGCTAGTTGTTGAATAGTTGTATACCAGTTGCCTGTGAGGATGCCTTTTCGAGAAACTATATAAAGATTCATTCCGACCCTTGTGGCTTTTACAGTTATTGGAGCCGTTTTCTTTCTAGTAAAATATGATTCTGACTTTGAAGTATATTGCTTTAGTTGTGCGAGGCATTTATTTTAATTTTTACTTCAATCATCACAATATTCTGAAAAGAAGCTCGGATTTGTTTGTAATCTCTTTTCTTCAAGAAAAGGCTTGTGTGGTTTATGAGAGCTATGCAGTCATATCCCATTGTACGTATTTCGGAATCTCCATCAATCTTTCAAACTTATTTTTACTTCGTTGCTTGAATTATGGAAAGCCTCTTGTTTGGTGCCACATCCGCAGTAATAGTTGAAGCCTCGATACTTTTTTCCATTTTTTTAATTTGTTTTGTGTCCTAGTTTGAAGGAGGCATTGTGACCATAAATGGTAGTAAATCTCTTTAATGATAACCCTGGTATTAAACACCTTAGCACACTTAGGTGGAGGCACCACTTCTTACAATTTGTATATTTAGTGTGAAAAATTCGGCGATGAACATGTCGGAGACGAAGAGAATAGAAACGTTGAGCTACTAGCTACGATCAGGTTTTATTTTATAACCTCGTTATTTATCAGGCTGACTAGATTTGGTTAGGTTTCGTTGTCTTCAGTTTCTTCAATCAATCCATCCGTTTTCTAAGGAACTTTATAAATATTGGATATTTCGCTGTCGAGGAGTGATGTAATTTCTATGAAAACCTTGGATAAAAAAATAGGAGCTTAATCAACGCAAAAATGCGCGTGGATCATCACAGATAAAGCTACTCGATATCGTGAAGTCGGGCACTTGCTCCGATGCACGCTTATTATACGCTTAGGCATGGAAATGAATAAACGAATGGTTTACTGTTAATTTTCGCTTTATTTTTTTTTTGTTCATTTTGCGATCATAGTTTACTTGAGTTATCGCTGTGGACCAGTTATTATTTACAGTTGCTTTGCAATTTGGCACTCATTGATGTGCTGAGAATTCCTTCGCATCCAAGAAAATCGATCTTTGCTCTGCTGTGTTGGACCAGCTGGCAAGAAATAGGGACTCGCTGACGTTCGATTGATTTCACACTTGCATTCTGGTAGTTATGGTTCTTGTCATTAGAACCGTTTTAAGAAGTAATTTCATATTCAAATAATTTTTCTATGTATCCTACTCATGATGGTACAACGAACGAACTATCTGGAACCGGAAAGCGATCATTCCTACCTCTGTCGATGATCCTACAGCTTCATGTACACTTTTCTTTATAATTTTGAAGAAAGTTCGACGGAATCGAGTATTACGGCTAGTCCGAATCACGTTTTGCGATAAAAATGTTTCGTTCGGACGTGCTTTTGCCTGGGCGTGGCGTATATGGCGACTGCGACTTAGGCGTCGCGAGACTAACCCCCAAGCACATCCAGTTCTAAAGATCGATATGGCCTCCCCTCACAGCCTGTAGTGCCTGGAACCAACACAGAGCAGAGCGTAAGGTTAGGTGGTCTCAAGGAGACTGCGTGGCTGTAGGTCCTTCTTTAGCTCGAATAAACGATAGTGTTAGTGATTATAATGAAGACCAAGTGGTGAATGTGTGAAAACTGACCAAGTTCTTTCTTATGTGTCGAGTAGTCACTTCAGTGCTGGAAGCGTGAAAATATAAAGTCGATATTGTATTTGTTTATGCTGAGGTGCGGTGACGTCAGTCGGTGAGCTTGGGATTACCGTGCTTGTGGACGAAAAGCTGGATCAGTATTGCTTGCCAGTTTCTAGGCGTTACCGTATATACAAAGTGAGTTGATACATCTTTAAGTTGTTTAAATTGATTTCTAATATTCATATCATCTGTATGAGGACTGAAATTTGGGTGTTAGAAAATGGGCTTGTTACCGTTCTATTTCACGATGGCATAGCTGTACTGTTATTACTGTAGCTATAAAATCACACGGAGTTAAAACCCGTCCTATTTTTTATTTGCTTATGATAAGGATCGCTACAAAAAATTGACAAGAAAGATATCAGTAATTCAAATTTGAGTAATCAATCCGAGAAATTTATGAAGAGGGCGTTTTATTTTATTAGAATAGTCATTTTAAAATGTACAGTTCGGCTCACAGTGATCAATACACTCTAAAAGCCACTTATGTATTTTTAATTTTGGTACGTTTGATAGTGTAAGAGCGTATCAATACAGATTTATCAGAAGTGATGGATTAAGTAATAATTCTTAAATTAAAATTTCAGCAGGATTCAGATCACACAGAGGCTTCGTTTCTACACAACTAACCTGTGTGTAACGAAATAGCTTGCCGGAAAATATTTACATAATGTAATAAATTGTCTGTAATCTATCCAATCTGACTTGATGTTCAGATAATTTTTTTTGCCAAAATGTTAACATGACCACCATTGACTTTCTTCACTGGTTCTATGGAGTCAAAGAAGGTGGGCGGCTGATCCAGGTCAGATGCAAGGCAAGCATCTACTGCTAACCCAATTTTAATTTTTACGAGATCCGGCCCTAGTGCGGTTGAGAGCTGCCTTCCACAGAGCAAACGGCTGCCACAGAGTCAATATTATCTATTCGTTCGTTACTGTCTCATTAAAACAAAGGACGATAAATGCTGTTTCCAATCAGTAGTGATCCCATAATAATTTGGTACAGTGGAAAATTTCTCATACGTGCTCAAAATTTAGAGCACGACTACGGTAGTGCATTCGTCTGTACAGAACAGTGACTCATTCTTGCAAGCACTGTATGAGAGTTGCCATCGTTTACTTTTTTGGAAAGTTTTTCTGTCGCTATTACAATTGTTTCGACATTTTGAAATGAATCAATTGTGGTTTTCATATGGCATCTTGGTATATATGCGATTAGAGAAATTTTGTTAGGTTAGTTTCTATTTGAAAATATGCTAAATTTCTCTTAGTCGATGCCTCAAGGTATATATAGGCTATACGGTATCCAAGTCTTGCAAAATCAATTAGTCTCATTGAGTTTTTGTTACAAATAATTAAAGCATCGATAAAAAGTTTGTAAATGTGTAGTAGCGCTTTACAATAGTATTAAAAGATTCTGATTAAAATCTGGAGAGAGTTGGCAACAACAATAAATGGCACGTGCATCAGCTGTCGAAAGTTATGACGTCACTTAGTAGTTGTATGATCGTTGTTTAGTGTGGTTGTGCGGCTCTCTTGGTGGCTCCTTCCTGGATTATTGCATCTACTTCACAAGGCTCCTACAGAGTAAGAAATTATTTGTCTTTCTTCCATTACGTAATTTAATGCTGCATTTACTTCCATCTGCTATAGAAAAATTTATCACTGAAAGTTACCAGACCGCAACATTCCCGTTGCCTGCAGCCGACGTCACGGCTTGCGCATTCCTCTAGCTCCTTCACGAACTCTGAAGGCAAAAAAGCGGCGTGAATATTACTTTTTGCATTAACACTAATCAGTTAGATTAGTGTGCTTGATGTAATTCAAGATTGCATATTTTCTAAAATGTTCCAATTCAGAAACTTGTTTATTTAAGTAGGAAGTATCGACAATTACAGTATAGGCTCTGTTGCTGCAGCATGTAAAATTACTCGATCTCTCTATTCGTTTATATTTTTCTGTTGCTGTTTCGTCTAACAAGTATTTCGTCTGGCAATTTAAGTATCGAAATGTTTTTCTATTTTAAGGCTGCGTAATCTATTTCTCTTTGCCCTGTGTGGGTAGATTTCTTTGCAAAATTTTAGATATTTTAAGAGCCACCAGGGTAGATACGTTGAACTGTTCTGTTCTTCAAGCACAATTTGTGAATTTTAGCTTCTTACGTTGAATTACGTTGTATCATTTCGAGATCTTAATCGTTTCCTCATATTTTGAATCGTCGGTATTCTTAACTTCTTTAAATTTAATTTCTTGTATATTTTATATGTCTGAAAATCTGCTCCACTGGACTTAAATGATTCGGTTAGGAGAACAGTGTGTTAGATTCAGCTTAGTCTGGTTAAACGCTGCGGATTCTTCTGAATTCCTTGTGCCTACCAAATGTATGTATACGCGATAGAAAAAAAACTGTCTGAATTTACCGACCAAAAATAGATCAGAGGTTTAGCAGACCACTGTGAATCAATGAGTTTTCGGTGGCCACATAGCTCCAAAAGTCTCCAACGTCGGTTTAAAAAAAAATCTGCCCAAGAAAGACAGTTTATAGATCTCCTGTGATCTAAATGTAATCCTGTGTGTCACGAAAATTACAAGAATCGGCGACAGGCTAAGCTCAGCCTATTCATCAGCGCCAACACTAAAATAATAATATACCTAATGATACTAATTTACAAAATCGCACATAAGAGTGCGTCGCGCTGCTTCTCGGAGCGTAGAACTGCCAGAGCAGAGCCGTCGAGCGTCCCGGCTATTGACTAGCGTTCATCCATTCATCGATTCACGCGTACGGTAAAGCCAAGCGCTATTCGGAGCCTGGTTACCTAATACGAGCTGAAGTTCTGGAGCAGCTCAATAGAGTAGAATTACGCCCCTTCCCTTGTTGGAAAGCTGACGAGTATCTTTCTTGATTATCGTTTATCTGTGCTGACTGGTCGCTGCTTTCTGTGGAGGAAATATTTATTGCCTTTACTCCATTGGTGGATGTTAGTTGAGGGTGGCTTTTTTTGTACTTAGAGGAATTTCATTCAATGGTTTCTTTCCGAAGAGATCTGTTGATACTTGACACGTAGAGCCACTAGTTGGAGCCCCAATAACATTACAAATCCGTTTTTAAAATAAGAATTGTTGATAGTCGTAATTTAGACGAATTATTCCGGATTTGTTGATAGTCGTAATTTAGACGAATTATTACGGTTTTTTTTTAATCAGAGTGTGACTTTTAAGTATTGCATTACATAATTATGATCAATCTAGCCTTGTATCTCGTTTAGTTTCAAAATATTACACAAGCATGTAAAGAAAGTCTCAAGCTACTGTATTGCTCCTCCATAATTCCGCCCTGCAGGCCCTGCCTCATTTGCAAACTTTCGTTCCTTCTCGAAAATTTAAACGAAAATGAATTTCTATCGTTGTATGTATATGTATATTTACAAACGCAAAGCCGCAATAATTTATTTTTGCTTTTCTGAATTGCGTAAGGTTTGCCCGTTCAAAGAATTTTCTCATTTTTATCTTGGCATGATAATTTCTTCGCCAAGAACTATGGATCAATTAACTTATTTTTTGTCAATTCATGGACCCTTTTCCTTTAGAAGATTCCCCCGTGTAGACTAAATTCTTTTGGCAAGTCTTTATGAACGCAGTCTGTTTTGACGTTAGATTTAAAACGTATTCAGATGGTCATTCCGCGGCTCGGCGTGAAATGCTTCATTGTTAATCTCAATGTTTTGAGATCCTTGAAATATTAACTATTGGTAGCGGCGCGGAATGCTTCCTCATGCTGCTCAAATTTCGAAATTGACCTAAATGTCTCTCGTATATAACTTGATCGTTTTTAAAGTAGCTATGCTCTCATACATAACTTAATTTTATTTAAACTCTATCAAAAATTGACTAGAGGGTTTGTCTTGCTGTCTTGTTTATTTTGGAATTTTTTTAATTTGTGCGCTTGCCGAAACGTGAAGAGGTCACGGAGTTCGTTACGATCGTCAGGCTGCCACACACAACGAAATCTACCGTCAATCGTCGGCGCTTCGGAACTTGCCAAGTCTCTAAGTTCGTTCACCTGCCGTAGAGACCGAGTGTAGATTTTCGCTACCCGTGCCTCTATCTACCGTCATAATTACTGTACTATTCTCTGTAATTTTATTTCACTTGATACGCTCTGGTAACTAAGCAGGCATTTAGGGTTTACATTTCTGTGGTCTAATTCATGTTGTTACTTGGGTTGAAAATTTTCACCTTGAGCTCTCTTAGTTTCTCTTGAATCATTCGTGGAAGCTGCAATTTGTTCGTTGGAGGAGCGTGTTTTGTTTATGGGGTTTGAATACACCGAACAAATAAAGCCCCTTTTCAATATCTATTTGAGTAGCTTAATTTAGTTTTTATAATTTATTATCCTTTCTTAAATGATAATTTGAACTAAAAATCTTGAACAATTGCGATAAGTCACAGAATTTTCATCCTTCTGAAGACTAATCTCTCACACGTATCGTGGGTATTACGTTTCAGATCTCGGCTGCGGTATAGGTGCAATCCGCGATGGGAAGTTGATCAACTGATGGTACTTTTTAAGCGTTTATATTGCAATTGTTTGGTGAGATTTAGAAAGGTTTACAATGCTTCCAACACTCTTACTACCGATCTGTTTTAATCTGCCGATCGACGTCCTCAGAAACCTGCGAATCGGCGAAGATCTGGAAACTTTCGAAGATTCTTCTCATTAATATTTCCTGGAACCGGTGATGAAGTAAAAACGCGGTATAAACTCGTCACACACCGGATGTTGAGAAAATACTTTCTTTATTGCTTGAAACCGCATCTAGAATGCTGCATAAAGTTTCTGACTTCTTTGCTTTCCTTTCAAATCGTACTGACTTGTACCGGTGTTTACCGCCATGCGCCAGAAGCGCCCACCCTTGTGTGGAGCTCAGTAATGAGTGGGCGTGCTGTTTTCTGCCCTGTCTTCCTTCACTGAATTTATAGTTATCGGTTCTCTCGATGATAGAAAAATACCTCTGGGCGGGTTTTGTTCGTATCCGGAGTGATTCGCATGGTCGATTACCGGTATTATTCGATCGTATTCAAGTTATGAAGTTATATTACTCGTATACTAACTGTAATTAGCCATTTTGACGACATGATTTCCTGCCTTTACAGGATTATTGGAATCAAACATCGCCAATATTCATCAGTAAATTATTCAGAAGTCTTGGCGGATAATAATTCTATATAAGTATATTATTCACAGTATTTTGACGACAGTCCCAAACCATAACTGTCCAATTAACCTGCAGTTGCATAATTAGTCTACAATTTTGAACAATTGATTTTTTATATGAACTGAATTTCGAGCCACTGGTCATTGAAAGACTCTTGATTTTCGTTGAACAATCAAAACTTTTTGACCATGTATGCTGAACTATAATTTAACGCTTCTGAGAATAGATGAACTGCGAGCAAACTGACAGCTGATGATGGAAGTTTTATCAGTGTAAGCTGTTTTGTTGTTGCTATTATATACCTTTTCCCATTCATAAGTGGGTTTTGTGTGTTAATCGAGTAGCGTTCTATATTTTGTGGAAATCTGAGCGCTTATTCGTAATACTCACCGTGTCTCGATATCACCTCGCTCTGAAATCATGGTGAAGAAATCTTGAAATCGGTAAATCGACATTAAAATTAAAGGCTCCAAAGGAAAAATTTACCTATACGAAGCATTTTTTTGAGTTTTAATTTTCTGTCGTTGGGCAGGATTACTTAGGTTATAGATATTTTTTTTTGCATTTGTTTGTATCCTGTAAGTTCGAGGAAAAATATAAAAATTTCACTTGTTCAAATTCTAAAATTTTCATTACTTTCAGGACTCCCATCACATCCATCACGTCCAGCATGCCAGCTTGAGATGCTAATGTTACCCAAGGTGAGTAATGATTATTTCTTCAATAACAATCTTGACAGGCCTAAATCATGGATAATCTGATGCACCTCCAGAAGTGGATCCAACAGTTCATTAATCTATGCTCTGGTTAAAATCCACCAAATCGCTATTACCATCCTATATTTTCAAAACTCGCTAAGTGAACGTATAAGTACTTACGCACTATTTTCTTGTCTATGATTGGTGGATTTGGCTTGAAAAGGCCGTCAATGCATGATTGGCGGATGAACTTACGATCTCTTAACTTTTTTTGAAAGTATGGGCCCTGACGCCGATATCTCGACAAGTCTCTCGCGGTTAACTGGAAGCTCAAGTTTCTCTTGGATGTTGTAAAACGCGCTTTTATCTCCAGATTTCGGGGGTATCGGGTATCGAATGTCTGCCGCTTGCCATATGGAGACGGGCTTGCTCTTGGTATTCCTTATATGCTTAGGGTTCTTTACTTCTCTTCTAAAAAATATGTATTGTATGTAGGTACTTTGCCCCAAGCATCCTTGTTAACGCTCATTTATTGAATTTCGAACCGTTTGAAACCATGGACGTTGAACTTCTGATAGGAAATTTCTGTCTCCTCAGAGAATTCGCCAAGGAAAATTTTCATCAAAAATGAAGGGTTTTGGACTGACAGCAGATTCTTTGTGTTCCCTTACAAGTTTAAAAGCTTTTTAAAAATAGCGATTTTTTTGTTCTAATTTTGATCAGTTTAAATTCGATTTTTTCATCTTTAATCAAGCCTATTGCTTTTCGCCGCATTTGAGGGAATGTTCAAAGCCAGTGCTGACTGTTGATGAATTGACGAAGAATTGCATCGCTACGTTTTTCTACCTTTTAACTTGACTTTTTAATATTCATATATGGTTCTCTCTTATTTCATATAGTAGTATAGGACCTTAAATCGATACCTATTTATGTTATGCTCTCTTCCCAATATTTAAAGTAAGCTGTAAAACTACCAAATTTTCTTCTGCATGTAAATTTTTTTGTGATTTTCAGTACTGGCTGGCTTAGATTTTAAGTTAGTGTTAGCGGTGTTGTCCATTGTGTTTATGTTAATAATTTAATTGGTAGGCATGAATGATCTGCCACGGCTTACCGTAGCTACTTTGGAAATTGTTCTCAATTTTTTATTCGATATGAGGCATATTGAGATTTTTCTCATCTGACTTAATTTATTCGAGACATGTCGTATATTCAGATCCACTTAAAAGTGACGCTTCATCTTGAAATTTCCTGGAAACGACGTTCATTTCTATTTTAGATACGGCTTGTGTTGTAATCAACTTCTTGATTATATTCACTTATAAGTGAATTAAGCTGGTATTCTTCAATGTTGCACTAAGATTTTGGCCCAAGGTTGTTGTAGCGGGTCGTTACTATTGACTCCCAAAGCCTGAACTTGGTACTTGAGCTGTGTCACTTTCGCAGACGCCACACAGTGTCTTTTGTTATTGTATATGTCAGCCAGCCAATGTCTATTGTTACAATATATGTCAGTCAGCCAGTATGGCCTGGAATAAGCTGGTATTCGTGGCATGAATGTCATTACAATAAAGATGACGAATGTGATGGCGAATGTGAGGTAGAAGGTGAAGAGGTCCGAGTAGCTCTCTCCCCTCTAGTGGCCGCGAAGACCTCATAATATTTGTTCTTTAACCCGCCAGGTGAAGAGAGGGGAGCTTTCCCCGAGCATAACCTGAACGCTGATGAGGCAGGTTGCGTTTCTTTTGTAAATCTAACCCTCGCTAACGCCTAATTGCAATGGAAGTACGTTGTCATCACTAGTGTTCACTTGTTTAAATATGTCTTCTTACCGATTTACCAAGTAATGCTTTTTCTCTCGCTATAGATATTGAAGCGGTGATATGTTAACATGATGGTTTGAAAGCGGGTTTGGATTGAGCAGCTCCAGAAATGACCAGAAATTTTAATGAGCAGATGCGTTTGAAACTGATGCTGTAGGCACAGGTCTGCAAATTTTCATTTGTGAAAAGGCTTTGTTTCTATATATTTTACCATGATTTTAGCTACGGCCTATCCTTTCATTTTATTACCATCAAAGTTTAGTGGGAAAAAGATGCAAGGATTCGCGTCATTTTCAGATAGGGTTCATGTCGCTGCTCTTATTTTGGGATGAAACTAGAAGAAATCGGATTCAGGCGCCTACATTTTGATGATCGCACGATCAATTCACAATATTTGGGCAATGATTCTATTTTATAGACTGCATTCCATTAATTGGGCAATAAATCTTCCCGCTTGGCGGCTTCCTCTGGTGCGCCTCCGCTGCCGTTAAAAGTATTGCATTTTTATTACATTTAATCACGACTTACCCATTTCGCAATAATGAAGTCCTTGACCACCGGGAGTTTAATCCAGTTAAAATATTCCTAAACCTCGCCGGTCACGAGATCGGGCAAAGGTCGCGTGTCAGCTGTTAATGTGGCTGCACTGTGGAATCTGGAGCTTCATTGCACCAGAAGAGTTTTTATTGAACATTCAAGTCTGAATTGGCGCACGAGCTCCAACGGAGCGAAGAGGTGGGCGTTGGGACCCGCTAGCTTGTGTGGCACGCCGCTCCCCGATGCTGGTGCTACTGGTGGTTGTTCCTCTGCTGCTGCTGGTGGTGGTGGTGGCGGTTGTTCCTCTGATGCTGGTGGTGGTGGTGGTGGCGGTTGTTCCTCTTCTGCTGGTGGTGGTGGTTGTGGTGATGGTGGTTGCTCGTACCTCTGCTGCTGCTACTGCTGCTGGGTGGTGGTGGTGGTGGTGGTGGTGGTGGTGTGTGTTACTGGTGTGGTGGCAGTGGTCGTGTTGATGTTGCTGGTGTGGTGGCAGTGGCCATTTTGATGTTGCTGGTGTGGTGGCAGTGGTCGTGTTGATGTTACTGGTGTGGTGGCAGTGGTGGTGTTGATGTTGCTGGTGTGGTGGCAGTGGTCCTATTGCTGCAGGCAGTTCAAAACTAGAGCAAGACGCTTTCAGCTGCCACCAACGTTGACCCCCATGCAATAGAAAGCATTTTCTTCGTTCTGGCTATCCAGTGGAAGGCGGTTAAATGTAAAAATAGCATAGTTTCCCGCATGAACTTTATTAGTGAAGAACCGGCACCTGGTCATGCGGTACCGGTACTTGGAACGCAATAGTTGTACAAATATTGGGGTTGTTGTTTTACCTTTTTTTTCTTATGTATGGCTGCCGTCATCTGATATTTTAAACTTAATTTAAACTTAAAATCCGTGGAAAATTTTGATACGGTGGTTCATAGCATAGTTAAGGTTTATTTTTATTTAAAATTTAACTTGATATTTGCATGTTAAGCTAGTCATAGTAAACCACATACAGTGGGGGGAAATAAATATTCGTACACTTGAAAAATCGTATTTTATTGTATGTAAGTACACAAACTAAACAGGAAAAGGGATTTAAATTATGTATAGAGACGCATAGTATTCAAAAATACTATCAAAAGAAATTAAATCTCAATGCAACAAAAAACAATGCAACATGTTCACTTTTCGGATGAAAAAGTATTCGTACAAAACAATAAATCCGCATTATTTTAATTTAATACTTGGTTTAATACCNCGTGCTAAACGTTCCAAATTATTCCATGGGTTCTATGTCGTGCTAAACGTTCCAAATTATTCCATGGGTTCTATGTCGTGCTAAACGTTCCAAATTATTTCATGGGTTCTATGTCGTGCTAAACGTTCCAAATTATTTCATGGGTTCTATGTCGTGCTAAACGTTCCAAATTATTCCATGGGTTCTATGTCGTGCTAAACGTTCCAAATTATTCCATGGGTTCTATGTCGTGCTAAACGTTCCAAATTATTTCATGGGTTCTATGTCGTGCTAAACGTTCCAAATTATTTCATGGGTTCTATGTCGTGCTAAACGTTCCAAATTATTCCATGGGTTCTATGTCGTGCTAAACGTTCCAAATTATTCCATGGGTTCTATGTCGTGCTAAACGTTCCAAATTATTTCATGGGTTCTATGTCGTGCTAAACGTTCCAAATTATTTCATGGGTTCTATGTCGTGCTAAACGTTCCAAATTATTCCATGGGTTCTATGTCGTGCTAAACGTTCCAAATTATTCCATGGGTTCTATGTCGTGCTAAACGTTCCAAATTATTTCATGGGTTCTATGTCGTGCTAAACGTTCCAAATTATTTCATGGGTTCTATGTCGTGCTAAACGTTCCAAATTATTCCATGGGTTCTATGTCGTGCTAAACGTTCCAAATTATTCCATGGGTTCTATGTCGTGCTAAACGTTCCAAATTATTTCATGGGTTCTATGTCGTGCTAAACGTTCCAAATTATTTCATGGGTTCTATGTCGTGCTAAACGTTCCAAATTATTTCCCATCATTCTCGTGAGAATCAGGTTTCGAATTTTATGCTTAGAGAATTAAATTTCCGATTGTAAAAAATTAAGCTTGTTGAAGAATTATGTTGAAAACGTTTAGGCAGCATTCTTAATGTTCCAGATAATGTATCGCACTGTCGAACTAAGGTTAACGTCGCTTCAAGTCTAAGTTTTTCCGCCAGATAATGTTTTTGTCCCAATGGAATATTTTCCTATTGACGTCTATTAAAATCGCTTCCTAGTAAATGTTGTTTATGAGAACGGCGATTGGCCGGGTTGATAGCGTGAACCGAGGTCCGACGTGTTTACTCGTGACTAGTTTAGTAATACACCGCTAATTAGCTGCGTGGTACGAGACATCCCTATCGGTATCATGAAGTATCACCCAAAGTTGGTCCATCCCACCTATATTGGTTTGTTGGTGAAATGCACAACTTGAGGAATCACTATATACAAGCTTTATCATTCAGTTTCCAGTTTTTTTAACGAATAATTTGGTGTGGAGTAAACCGATCTCCACCCCAAACACTATGATCGATTCTAACCTATAAGCCGGGCTATTTTAACCACGTAAGGCTTCCCTCTGGTGTATAACAGCTCTTGTCCCTCTATCA